CACACTCTCTCACACACACACACTCTCTCTCACACACACACACAGAGACACACACACACACACACATGCCAGTCACTACTTCACTGATGTGTGTATTAATGTGTGTGTGTGTAGCTGGTGTTCTCGGACAGTGGCGGTGTGGACGGAAACACTGAAGAGTCTCTGCTGCCGCTGCTGCGCTCTTCATCATCATCAGCCATCATCCCTGACAGCTGTCTGTCTGCACTGCGCTCCGCTCTGACCAGCAGACAGATCCAGCTACAGGTACACACACACACACACAGAGAGACAGTATACGCTCTGTGATCCGCTGTCTATCACAGTGTGTTTGTGCGCAGGAGCTGCGAGAGCGTCTGCAGTCTGCGCAGTCTTCAGTGCAGCAGCTGCGCAGGCAGCAGGGGGAGGCGGAGTCAGGCCGACGGGAGGCGGAGCTCCGTGCCCAGACGCTGCAGGGCGAGAGAGACGAGGCTCAGAGAGAGAGAGAGACCGCTGTGAGAGAGAGAGACCGACTGAGACAGGAGAGAGACACGCTGAGCAGGTGAGACGCGTCACACGACCTGTCAATCAACCTGAGTCATGTGACCAGTGACCGGACCTGTCTGTCTCTCTGTCAGTGAGAAGGACGCGGCGGATAAGGCTGCGCAGGCGGCGCAGACGCAGATGCAGGTGCTGCAGCTGGAGTGTGACAGGCTGCAGCTGGCCATCACGTCTGCGCAGAGAGAGCGCGAACACGAGCGAGAAGAGAGAGACACCGCCGCGCTGGAGAGAGACCGAGCCCAATCAGAGACGGACAGACTGTGAGTCTGACGCGTGTTTGTGTCTGAGCGAAGCGCGAGTGTGTGACGTGTTACTGACGTGTGTGAGTGTGTGTCAGTCAGCAGCTGTGGGAGGAGTCCGAGCGTCGCGCGTCTTCACTGCGCGCTGAACTGGCGGTGCTGAGGGAATCTATCCAGCAGTGGGCGACAGACAGGCAGCTGATGCAGGCTGAGAACAGACAGCTGAGCGACGCGCTCAACAGGGTCAGACACGCACAAAAGCATCGTTCGCCAACTATGGTCACAAGTTCCTTAGTTACCAACATAATACTGAATGTTGAGAAAAGCACTATATAAATGCATTGAATTGTTATAATATTTTATTGTTATTACTTTACTTACTTTAGTGTAATATTTTTATTTAGTGATTATAAGCATAATAAAAGTAATTATAATTATTATTTTGTATTTTTTGTGATTTGGCTACAAACAAGCACAACAAACTTCTTGTTTAAGTTGCATTTTAAATTGCAATCACAGTTTTGATCAGAAAAATCACAATTATTATTTTGCCCAGATCATGCAGCCCTACTCTGCAGTATGTATATAATAGTAATATTTCTTAATTTGTGTACGATTTTTATTTAGCAATATAAAAACACAATAATAATAATAATTATTATGATTATTAATGTCATGATAAAGTCGTATTTTTGGCCAAATTGTGCACCCTGCAAACAGGCACAGCAAACTTGGCTCAATTTTAGTCAGAAAAATACAATTAGATTTCCCCAAATACTCTCTAGTATGCATACTTCATATGTGGTGATTGACGTGTGTGTGTGTGTGTGTGTGTGCAGAGCGGGAGCAGTCATGCTGAACTCTCTCTAGTGCTTACCAAGCTTCACTCGGAGGAGTCGTCACTCAGAGATTCTCTCGCTAAGATGAGCGGCATTAACGAGAGTCTCGCGCAGGACAAATCTGACCTCAACAGCCTCATCATACAGGTACCAGACTCACACAATTACGCACGCGTACATTTAACTGAAGTTTCACAACTTCACATCACACAACTTATATCACATGTTATATTAAACATTAAATGATTTTTGTCAGGGTTTGATTTTACCCATCAGGGTTTGTTTTGATCATATTACTGGTTAATATTATTTGTATAGTATTTATAGAGAGTAAAGGTGTTTCAGTGACAAATTAACCAATGATATTGGTCTATTGAATGATTGACAGCTGGAGGAGGAAAAGAATGCATTGCTGTCTCAGCGAAGAGAAGCAGAACAAGAGAAACTGACCATCAGAGATGAGCTGGTCCGCTCCGAGCAGGACCGACTGGAGCTGGACTCTCTCCGTCTCGCTCTCCACCAATCACTGCAGGAGTCTGAGCTGGCCAGGGCGGGGTTGGAGGCGGAGCTACAGTCGCTGCAGGCAGACAGAGCCAAACTCCAGGACAGAATCACACAGGTGACAGTCTCGCTCTCTCTCTCTCTCTCCATCTGTCCCTCAGTGCCTCATAAACAGTTTCTGATGTGCTGCTGTCAATCAAACAGCTGATTGGTGAGGTGGGTGGTTTGGAGGCGGAGCTCGGTTCTGTCCGCGGTGAAGGAGACAGGCAGAGCACCGCTCTCGAGGAGGCAGTGTGTGGGCAGGCGGAGCTAGTGCGAGAGAGGGCGGGGCTTCTGGTTCAGCTGACGGCGTCAGAGAGAGAGAACGCCGCCCTGACGGAGGAGCTCGCCGCCTTCAGGTGAGACCGAACACATATGTGTCATGATGTTAGTGTGTTAATATATGCATGTGTGTTTCATTAACTGAGTGTGTGCAGGACGGAGCGGGAGAGTCTGGAGACGAGTCTGTTCGAGCTGCAGCAGCAGATAAATCAGATCGAGTGTCGATGCGAACAGCTGGAGTCAGAGAACCAGAACCTGAGACTTCGCACTGACAGCATGATGGGTAATTGAGAGAGAGACAGGTGCATGAATGAGAGTGAGACAGGTGCATGAATGAGAGAGTGAGACGGGTGCATGAATGAGAGAGTGAGACGGGTGCATGAATGAGAGAGAGAGACGGGTGCATGAGTGAGAGAGAGACGGGTGCATGAATGGGAGAGAGACGGGTGC